TATATTAGTTGTTATTATATCACTTGCTACTATTGTCCCCACTTACAGGGTCAATTGTAACAGTTCATAAATTCAACTAAAACATAGTTAATTATACATATTATCGTAGTTGTGATATATTTTTTTATTGATCAAAATAGTAGTGATATTTTAATAAAATAATAATGAGCAGAGACCTAAAGGGTTAAACTTTTAACTTTAAGGGGTTAAAAATTTTAATTTATGCTGTGAAAGGTGACAAATAAAATAATGCACATGCAACATAATATAAATGATATAGGAAACTATTGGTGGTTCTTAAAGAGTTAAGTAATGGTTTGTAAACATAAGATTATTTATTTTCAGCTGTTACAATCGTCCCTTTACTTATTGTTACAATTGTCCCCAAGACGCCATTTCAGCTTCATTTGTTAAAAACAATGCTGGTTAATTAGCAAAACTGATCTTTTCTCTTTGAAATGTTAATTAAGGTGTCCACTTACATATTCGGTTAATAATTTTTATTTGTTTAAACAAAATTACTTTGTTGCAATATAATATTCTAATACCAAAAAAAGTACTTACGCAGCGTGAAAATATCTTTTGTGATGTAACTCTTTCAAAAGTACATAAAAATGGTTGCCAGCTGGGGAGTACATGTAGATTTATTAAATACACCTTGTGTGCCACCTAGGAGCCAAATTTAGAACCCGACACTCGAAATTTTTGCTCTGTTACAATTGTACCCTGTTACAATTGACCCCACTCTCCCCTACTCTTGAAATAATTTTGCATATTGTTTTTGAAAAAAGACCTTTTGAATACTTTATAATACAAAAAAAAATGTAAGGAAACCTCTCCAAGTTATTCTTATTCAAATCAGAAAAAAAATCTGTTCTTCGTTAGCAAATAAAATCTGAATCACTAATTATACCAATTACCCGTTTTGACAAATTCAGATGCAAATTTAATTTAATTTCCGTAGTTTTAAAGAAGGGATATTTTCAGTGGAAAAATTACAGAAATCTTCGATAAAGTAAATCATGTAAAAATGCATTTTTTAAATGGCAGTTCATAGAATTTTAATAGGACATTTCCAAGTAGTTAAGATAAGCAACTTAATTAAAAAAAGAAGCAAATTATTCGTTGAAAAGGGCTATTGCATGCGTTTAGATAGATTATACTAAGAACTATTAAGCCGATCTAAGAAAGGAAATAAAAGACATTTGTTTACAGTTCTGTCTCCCTTTTCATTATATTTCTGAGATTTCAAAATAAGAACAAAAATGCAGAATATTCTCTGGTTGTTTTTATCGTTAACAGTGACAACGAAAAGATTTTCCAGATTCAACGAATATCGACCTAAATATTTCTCTTGGAAATAAAATGTAGCGTACTAATTGAGATACATTACATGAATGCCCGAATTCTGCTAACTTAATTTAAAACTTTTTTAGAACTGCTTTCAATATCCTAAATTATCTTTTAAGACACTTATTTTTAATGATTTTGATGTTATTACAGGAATTCTTTGAGCTCATAGAATCACAAATGATTTGTTTTGAAGCATAAATAAGTTAATTCGCAGTATGAAAAATTTATTTAATTTGTTTTTCAGCTTAGGGGAAAAGAGTTTGAAATAGATATCAACGATAACATAAGAAAATGATTATTTATTACTTTCGGTTTTAAAAAAATTATTTATTTTAATTACCGTAGCTTTTTTCAGAAAATATTCCAAGAAATAAGAATGCTTATTGCTATTAAACTACTTCTTGTTACTAACTGCTGTTATACTTAAAAATATTATTCTATTTAAATTTGTGATCCACTTTATATCTATTTGCAATTATAAACTGATTAAATAGTTCTTACTTATACGATTATAGTATTTTTAAAATTTATCTACAAATGTTTTCAGATCGATTTTTTGTATTTTTGTAGAATATGATAAGCTTATTCATTATGAAACTAGTTTAATATTAATCATGAGACTCAAAAAAATCATAAAAGGTAAGCATGTATCTGTCTTTTTGTTTGTGTAATTCATGCTATGGACTTAGTGTAGTTTGAAATAAAGGATTTTAATTTTCTAGAATCATTTCCAATTATATAAGAGTATTTTAAGTAAATATGACGCCTTGATGCCTCTAGTTTAATATGAGTCAAATTTTCATTGAATTAAGTCATAGAAAATACGTGAGTGCTTTCATAAAATATGATAAACATTATAAAAATCTGTTTTAAATGACTTATTTGGTTGCAAAAATTTTTTTTAAAAAATTCACAAACTGTCTACCCTTATACACTGCTAATTGTAAAGTTTACATTTAAGAGTTTGAAACCGTTTACTAATAGTATGGTAAAAAACTATGAATGAAAAACTAAACGGTATTGTTACCATTTAAAATTAGCAGGGTTTCAAAACTGTAGAAATGAAATTTAGCTGAATATTGAAATTACATTAGAGTTAGGCTACGCTAGATTTTTTGTTAGGAAATGGACATTAGAATTAAGTTGTGGGTGAGTTATGTTTTGCCAAGTGAACCGCGGCTTAATCAACTATTGCCATCTATCATGAGAGATACGAGAAATAATAAGCTTTTTCATGTAAAGCAACTCTGTGATGCTTCAATCCTTGCATGAATAAAATCTTCGTATTCCAATAGTCCAGAATCACCAATTGAGGAGTGCAGGATAGTGTTAACTTCTCATGTGTTGAAAAAATGGAAGAAATAGTGTGTTGTTAATCCTGGAATCCGAACCCCCATTCGAACATTAATAAAATGTTTCACTAATACATGTTTAAAATATAAAATAACTCTAATGTTCATTTAACTAATACAGTCCCCTGCCAAATTATTAGACGCACTATAAGATTCCATGTAAAATCTTAATTATCAAGTGATACTATCAGCTTTATTGTTTTTATGTGACTGAAACCGGTTTGCACATGTTTAAGTTAGCGTATCAATTGGTTAAATTAGACGATATATAACATAAATTTGACATTCAGATAAATTATACGATATATTAGATAAATATAGAATATTTACTATATCAATCATTATATTAGTATATTATAATAATTAGATCAAATTATTAGTCGCACTGTAGTTTTTAAATAATTACATGATTTGCACGAGTTTACATGAATACTTGTATATTTAAATATACATGTAATAGGTTTAAATTCGGGAGATTTTTTTACATACTTATATACTTTCTATTTGTATTTACTTTAACATATTGCATTGCAATGTTATCCCATTGATAGAGTAAACAAATGCAAACCGGTTTCATTCGAATAAAAACAATACAGCTGTATAGTATTACCTGATAATTATAATTTTACATAGAATCTTATAGTGCCCCAGGGACTGTAAGGTAGAACACAAATAATAATTATATATGATTGGAATATATTTATGCTTACAAAAATTAAAATTTTTTTAATATTATTGAAGAAAAATATCGATACCAAATTATACTATCGAAAAGTAGAAACAATGTCAAGTATCGATTGTATCAAACGGAAGAGTCACCACATTTTTAGTGCCACTAACTGCGTGAACTTTGAAAACTAATTTTAACTATTTTCTTGTAGGAAATCTGCAAGCACACGTTTTTCTATTCATTTTAATTAAAAACCAACAGCCTTAATGATGTTAAATTTAATGGATAATAAATTATCTACTCAATATTTTTTAAACCTGTTCATCCTGTTGCAATTTTTTTTATGTATATTTAATATCGCATTGAAAACAAAAAAGAGAAAATTAATTCAAAGTACAACTCGCATAACTTACATAACTGAGAAATCTAGCCTTACTTTAATGCTGAACTACGCAAGTTAAAAATACAAAGTTACTGATTTTTACATTAAACTTTTTACATTTTAACTGATACAAGTTTTAAAAAAATATAACATTAAATGCAGTTTTTTGCCGATAGGAATTTCTTAACAATGAATCATTTACTTTCTAATTAAAAAATAGAAAATAAACCTTATGAACAATAAATAAATTGAAGACAGAGACAGTGTCATACTGTCTGGTACCTTGCAAATGCTGCGTCACTTGATTTTTCCGGTTAATAAAAGCAATTCTAATTGAACAAGTGGCTATTATTGATAAGAAGAATCATCTCCAAAAGAGCTATCACTTCCAGCAGAAGTTCCGTTTTTACGTTAAAGATGCAAAGGAAATGAACAATGATAATGATGACTAACAAAAACATTTATTTGGGTGCTATGGCACGTGATCAGTTAAATAGCAGGGTCCCGCTAATTAAGCACCGAGGTCGACTTCTGTACTCATCATGGTGATCTCGTTCTCAGGGGTGGGTAGACCGGATGGAACGATCGCTGATGCATCCTGCCTTCACGCTCACTCTACGATGCAACATGACGTCATAAATTGGTCACAATTTCTAGTCATCCCCAGCATCTCGCTCATCATTTCTTCTCCTTCTTAAGAGAAAACATCATCTCTTAAGAGTAGGTAAGAATGATCTTAGAAAAACAACGTTGAATGAAAAAGTTTTCGTCTTGGATAAAAGCACGTGCTCTTCCAACTACGGCTACTTCTTGGAATGTGGAATGTTCTTAGCGTTATGTATTCAGCTGAATCAACTAATAAATCTTGTAACGTAAAAGTTTATATATTATAGAGATATATTTCTTTGGATTTTAATGAAGTGAAAGCTTTTATCGAGAGTTTTAAATTGCTATAACCGTGAACAGTTTTTATTACTTACAAGTTATCTCTATGTTATGCAATATGCGTGATGACAAAACAAAAATATTAATAGAAAAAGACGAAAATATAAGACAGAAAAATATAAGTGTTATTATTTTTTTTCAAAAGCAACACATGATTTGATTTGAATATTTTTGGAAAATATTTCTGATGAAAGATTTTATTCCAACATAATTTTCATTACTTTTCTTCATAAAATCTTCATTACTTTTTTTAAATCAGAAATTTGAGATAAATTATTCGTTTTTTTCTAAGATTTTTTTATGATATTTAGGCGTAAATTTTCCTGAAATTCCGAAAAGATATTTTGTGGGGATTCATTTCCTATGCTTGAAATCATCTAAATTTCTGCAATAAAAATTTTATTGTCTGAGAAACAGTATTTCCTACATTTGAAGATTTTATTACCTTACACATATTTTAGATATTTCTGATACTTTCAACCGTATGAAAGTAAATTTTATAGAAGCCCAGTGACTTTATAAACATAGATATCTCCATATACGAAAATAATTATCAAAAAATACAAGTTTATTTATATGTGAACATTTTAATTACTTGAGAAAAGTGTTCGTTTTGCTCGATCATAGCATAACTTCCTAAATTTGAAAAAGTGCAGTATTATGTGTAGTGGCATGATTTTTAGAAAAGGATATTTTTCGTATATTTCTCAACTAGTTACCTTTTCATCCTAGGTAAGATCATTTTATTTTATTTCAAATTTTCGAAGTGTTATGATTTCACCCAAATTAAACCAAATTTTCGAATTATTCTTATTAGTTTAAATTTTATGTTTTTAACGTTTGTCACATTTACTTTTTGCAGCATAAATTGGTAAAATGCTTTTTTTTTCAATTCAATTTGGAATTTATAGAAATTAGTATTATGTATAAGAAATTGTTTATTGTTATTTATTCTAGTTTATGCTCTGGTCTATTAGGGTTCTATAAGCCTTAAAGTATTATTAATTAAGAAATTTTAGTTTCATTTAAATATCCGCTTTAAAAAAATAAAACAGGTTTTTTAACTACTTAAGAACCGAATTTTTTGCAATAGAAAACTATGCATATTTCGCAACATCTGAAAAATATTGAATAAAAATATTCCCGAGAAAGTTAGCAAGTTCTACTAAAACTTTAGTCATCACAGAGAAATTTTTAGCAAAATATATTATTTTTTGTAGTAATTTATTTGGCAGTCATTAAATCTATTTTAATAAATATTTAAATTTATTTGACAGTCATTGTTTTTATTCGCTTTATTTTAAAATTTTAAATATAAATTCTGTGATTGATACATGTGATTTTTCTAAGTGATTTCTACCATGTGATTTCTTTAAATTTCATGTTTATTTTTCTAATTTAAATGTTTTTTAATCTAACATATTTCTTTTATACAGTAACCTAAAATTACGATTAAAGGTTTTCCAAAAGTTATCCTTAAAGCTTGAAGATAAAATAAAATATTTCTGAGATTATTCACAAAAATTACTTAAATTTAAACGGAAACTAAAATATTTAAAGTAGAACAGGAGCCTTATTTCAAACGCCACAACAACACTTTAATTAAAAGTGAACAATGGATAGTAAAAATGTTTGCACAGCATGAAGAAAAATCTAAAACAATATTTTACATGTGCATAGGACGTAAAAAGTACATGAACAGCAATTAAAAAAAATAAATAAAATTAAAATATATATTTGACTACTTTTCAGTACTACGCATGTAAATATATATTTATTTCAAAAAATGTAGTTAAATGTACTGTAATAAAATATATCAGTCAAAATTTTTATAAAAAAATTATTTTAAAAAAATTCTAAAAAATTTCAGAATCCAAAACTAGGGTTTATGATTATCATTAATAATTTTACTTACAAGTAATTTAACAATCCAAATCTTAACTACAAGCTTTATGAATTCATCAAATTATTTTGTGCTTTGAAACAAGTTACTAAAATAAGAAATGTTAAAATGACCCGATTAGTGACCGATTATTGTGATTTTTTCACTGCCGTGCCCCGGAATTATAAAATCCGTAGTAAGCAGTCAATTTTTCTATTTTTTAAATCTTAATGGACACATAATAGCATTTTTTGAAAAACATTGCATTTTGTTGAATTGATATTTCTTATATTTTTAACAAATATAGATTTTTTGTTAAAAAAAATCCAAGCTTTATAATTGGTCCAGATGAGTATTCTTAAAGAGGACGAAGAACAAACATCAAGCTAATTCTAATAACCAAAATTCTAATAATTTGTAAAATACCTATCTGAAAACATTACTGTGAATAATTAATTGTAAAAATATCATTTTTGGGAAAAAATTAACTTTTCACTATAAAGTTCCAAGAGTGTCACGAGGATTTATGCTTGCAACTGTAGCAAACTAATGAGAACTGTTTTAAATATTTCTCCCAATCATTTCAAGTTTAATTGCCAAATAAAAATCAATTCTCAGAGTTTTCTCAAGATTTATACCTCTTAAATTCAAATTTTAGGAGGAATTATTTTTAGCTCTTATATATCACGTTATTTAAATTCTTATATTATTAATTCATTACTAAATTCGTATTTTTGCTTTTAAAAAATATTTGTTTTAAATTAAAAAAGTTAAATGCAGCTGCTGTTTCAGAAAATAAATTGAAAATGATTCTTAACAAACTAGAAAAATAATAATATTTCACTAAAATTTTTAGAAAAAAAAATTGAACATATTTGGAAAATCTTTCCCGCTACACTGATAAAAAACTATAAGCTGCATATTTACTTTAAGATACAAAAGCTTTCAAAGATTTTTTCGTTTTAAAGTAGAATTCGTTTATGCTCTTTAAAATATTCTAGATTGTTTCAGAATAAATCTTCAAAATTCTTTCACATTGCGTAGGTAGTGTAAGTAAAGTAATTTCACAAATATGCATAGATTAAATATTTCAGTCAGAACTTTAATCCCGTTTCGTGATATAGACTTTAATTTAAATGAAATCGTAAGAACATTCTTAAAATTTTCAATCAAGTCCTGAAGTATTTAAATGTTCTAGAGGAAAATATCGAAATAAAAATGGTGTTTTTCATGGTTTTGAAAGTTTGAGTTACTGAGTGCTAATTAAAAATTAAACTTAAGAAATGTTTTAATATTGTACCTAAGAAACTAAAATGGCTTTGCTTTTAATATACGTGATATTTAATTGCGAAATATGAATGTAAATAATTAAACAGGATTGCATGAAATTGCGATTCTACCCGAAAAAAAATGCTGGTAAAATTCTGGTACGGTACTGTATGGTAGTGACATTTTATTAAAAAAGAAACTGTAATTCTGGTTAATAAAATCAAATACACGGCATTTAAAACCATGCATTTGGTAAATTTTCCATTCATATGGTAACGGTTTACTGGAAATTCCGGTTTGTTTCACCACAGATTTAATGAAAAATACAAAAATTAAAACTGCATTTAACCAAAAAAAGAATAGTTTTTACCTTATTCTCTAAGGTATCGTGATAAAATTACTAAATTTTGCTATCTTTACCAAATTTTATCACATGTTATAAAATCATATTTTATTATTAATTTTACCAAAATCATTACCAAAGCGCCTCGGTAAAAATTATCAAGCTTTTTGTGTCCATAGAGCCAGAAACTTGGTAAATTTTAACATATTCTGGTAGTTTTTACTATACTTTTTTTTCTCAGCGTTACTTTTCTCAGTGTTACTTTTTTTCATATATTTAGGGAAAGCAATATCAAATTATATATGATTTTGCATAACGAATTCCATAATTATTTTTAAGATATCTTTAAAAACTATTGAAATATACAGTAGAACTTAGTGCAATAACACTGCCAGTTTGTTGCAGTATAAACATTTTATAGAGTATGAAAATATATGTATTATTAAAACAATTCATAGTTTATGAAGCTATGAAAATCAACAATCTCCATGGAACTAACTTCTTTTATTTGGGTATGGTATATTAAAAGGAATAAAAGCTTTGTGAAGAGATAAAAGCCGGCATTAAAAATCACAAATCAAATACTTCAGTTGCTAAAATGTCACGCAATTTTCAATGCTTCATAGACACATCAACTTCAGTGCAAAATACTGCTTATTTGTTTTCATTCATCACCATTTACTTGCTTTTTTGCACTGAAGATAATGATTCAATGTAGCGTCGAAGCTTGTAAGCAATTCTAATTACTGAAGCATGCACTGTTAGAAATTTCTCGGAAAAAATGGTTAAATAACAATTTATTTAACTGTTATTTTACCATAATCAATCAAAACAGTCAAATATTCATAAATGAAATGGCATTCAAACTGATAATTGTGAAAAAAACATTTACTAACCGCTTTCCCCTTATACGGTTAAACCAACAAGAATTTTATCCAGTCAGCTAGGCCTAGCTAATGAAGCCGTTTAATTCCTTGCAACTTGTTACATATTATAGCTGAGATGGCTGTCATGACCGAGATGCTGGGACTCGAACTTGGGTTCGAGTCTCAGCGTTGACACCACATTGTTTCCTCAGTACCCTTCAACAAACGTAGAAGTTCCACTGTCCTGCACTCTCCTATGCCCATTACTTAACAAAAGTCTAGTTGCTATATCCAATTAAATGTCCTTTTCACGATCTTTTCCCAATAAACCATGTTATTTGTAAATGGTTAAAAATCCGTTTATTTTTGTATTCATGGTTTTATAGCCATACTAGTTGTAAACGGTTTCAAAACCATCAAGGTAAAAATTGCCTTCAGCGTAAACTTTACGGTTAATGGAATTTACAGATTGCTACCGATTATTTTATCATAATTTAAGAATGAAAATTCTAACAGTGTATGATTTGGGAATTTTAACGTTGGTCTTATATTTATTGCGTATAGCTTATAAGTTAAACAATTGATTACTTTTGAATATAAATTTAAGTCAAAATTTTAAATTTTTAATGATATTATTTTAAATTAATTAGATTAGATCAGATTTAAAAATTTTATTTAATGTTTCTTAAGTTTTAGCATTTATTCTAACATAATTTTTTCTGAAAAAATTTTTATTGTGGGAGATCCATATATTTTTTTCAAAAAGATAATCAAATCTGTCAATATGAAAATAAATATATTTTCCACTAGCCTTGCGAAGCATTTTTACTATAGCTCTTAATTAAAAATTAACATAAATACAATACTACGAAAAATCTCAGTAGATATGCCACGAAAATTGTACAAAGTATGCCTATCAATGGCCAAATGAATGCATATTTTACATATTAAGTGTAACCATTACAGAACACCCTATTTTTCTGACCGGCAAGCGTCTCCTCAGATTTTTAATATTTGATTCAATATAAATTAAATGTTACTATTACTTCGAAGCTTGTAAGCAATTCTAACAGTGCATNTTTATAATAATTTTACTGTGTAAAAAAAATATTCTCTAATTGTCAGAGCAAGTTCTCAAAAATTATACAATTGATAACCAAATCATTCATTAGGGCAGTGTTTCCTTCCCAAAGTGTGGTACGCGTACCCGCAGGGGTACGGGAGCAGTCGCAACAAACGAAAATTTCAAAAATTTTATTTCGAAACAAAGCTAGTCATGAAAATTTACGATTACGTATTTTTCTATTGGCTATTTTTTGCTGAGTTAACAGTTAACAATTAGTTGTGTCAACAGCCATTTGTGATTTTTAAC